ACGTCTCCTGAGGATATTATACAGTGACCTGACAACAACAATTTCCTAAATTTACCTACTGAATACCTTTTTGGACACTGCTCAGTGCATTGCTGGTTGTGTGGAAGGTAACCCATACACAGGTCCTGCTCTCCTATCTTTGCCCACTGAAGAAAGTAAAATAGATGTGAAACTATAGGATAGAAAAGAGACTTGTTCATCTTTTCATCTGTAACACTTGGCACATAAAACGAAAGAAAGAAAGAAACCTCACTGCTATTGAGTCAATTCAGACTCATAGTAACCCTGTAGGACAGAGTAGAACTGCCCCCATAGAATTTCCAAGGCTGTAAATCTTTAAGGAAACTGCCACCTCTTTCTCCCGCAGCTGGTGGGTTTGAACCACCTACCTTTTGGTTAACAGCTGAGTGTTTTAACCACTGCACCACCATAGCTTCTACCTGGCACATACACTGTCATCAAGCTGGTGGGTTTGAGCTGCCAATCTTCTGGTTAATAAATGCCTTAGGCACTACGCCACCAGAACTCCTTCTGTACCACTATCTCACTGCCATCGAGTTGATCCCAACTCATGCGACCCCTCCTTGGTTTCCAAGGCGATATCTCTATGGAAGTAAATTGCCCAGTCTTCCTTCTGCGGAGTGGCTAGTGGGCTTGAACCTCCAGCCTTCTGGTTAGCAGTCAAATGCCTTAGGCACTATGCCACCAGAGCTTCTTTTATACCACCATTGTTGTTATATGCCTTCAAGTCAGACCTGACTCATAGCGACCCCTTCTTGGGTTTCCAAGGCAGTATCACTACGGAAGTAGATAACAGGTTGTTTAGGAGTTTGAAAACCATATTCTTATGGCACCTGAGTGACTGACTTATTTCAGACATTTAGGACCTCCGTATACTACCTGTAAACTATACGGGTAGATCCTGAGATGGAGTGGACCCCCTTTCTCCTCCCTTTGGCTTTCTAAGGGGGCTCTGCTGGGCACAGTTTGAAACCATGTCCTTGTGGTCCTGATATTCTGTCAGGATGCCCAGGGCAGTGAGCTCACTTGCTGGTGGCCACATTGTTCTTGGCTGATTTGCACGCCAGGATAGGCAGACATCTCCAGTTGCAACCAGACCAAGCCAAACAGATAAACACCTATATTGAGGTTGCTTGGCCTAGGAATGGTTGTAGGAGGGCTGTCAGAATTGGATACCAGTGGTACATGAATCCAGTTTGGCCAAACAGTGGCTGGTGTCTCCTTGTCACTGTTGGAAAGGACTCACTGACGTAGTCACAGCTCTCCTGAGAGCTGTGAAGAGGGTTTTGCTGAGCCCAGAACTCCGCTGTTGATTATAGTCAAGATTTGGAGGTGGTGGGCCTTTTCATAAAAGCCATCCCTTGCTTTTCATCAGCATGTACCCTTATCTAATTTGAACCTTATAGGAATAGCAGCTTGCACAGAAGTTTTTTGGCCCATCTAATTGATGATGAAACTTAGACCTAAAGAAATTGTGATTTGCCTAAGACCACACACAAGCATGAGGCCATACTTTTCCCTTCCTATTCCATGCTGTCTTTGAGCAGCCCTCTGCCAGGAAGAGGGCTGCAGTTATTTACACACCCAATTACACATAAGACAACTCCCTCTTTATCTAGCACCATCTCCTCTGAAGGCAATCCATCCATGCAGTTGGTTCCCAGCAGCTAAGGTTGTGACCTGGTGCACAGAAGAATGGAGAAAGCTGCAGAGGCAGTGAATCTGACTTAGATCCGTTGTGTTGGTTTTTTTCCCCCTGGTATAAATTGTGACCCAGGAGTTACTTTCAGTTCTGTTTTTTGGCTGCCTGAATGACTGGAGCACAGTGTTATCTAACACTCATTACCCATCATCCTCTGGGACCATAGAAACTGCAGCACCTGTCAGAGATGATGATAAATATCTAGGCCAAAGGTTTTGAAAAAATGTTTGTAGTGGAATGGAATGCTCAATCAAGATGACAGGGTATTTTCAAGGAATAAATAAAGCGTTGATACCTAGCTTTCTACTCTTTTCTTTCCCCTTCGCTGCCCACAGAGAACCTGACCCAGTGGTCAGTCTGTTTGGCTCTCTTGCCACTTGTGGGCTCTGCCCTCCTCAGCCATGTCTTGCAGCTCCTGCTCCAAGGCCGTCTCACTTCTGGGCCTTTGCTCAGGCTTTGTCTTTGCTGATTCCCCTCCTCCAACTCCTACTCCACCTGAGGAAAGCCAGCTCATCTTTCCGGCTCAGCTTAGAGTCACTCCTCACCACCTCCCTTTCACTTTTCCTCATTACTGTCTCAGGTCCCATAAGTTACCATGTCCTATCTTTCTACATTCCTCCAGAATTACTCACCTCTCCACCCCAGTTTCCACTTCCCAGACAAGCAGCTGTTATGTCTGTGTTGGACAGTTTGCTCCTGGCCTCCCTGCCCCACTCATGGCCTACTTGCTGTCTACCTTGTATCAGAAGGGTTATAGAGTTGGTATAGTAGATAAAGTGCTTGGCTGCTAACCAAAAGGTTAGTGATTTGAACCTACTAGCCAGGAGCTCTGGTAGCATAGTGCCTAAGGCACTTGACTGCTAACCAGAAGGCTGGCGGTTCAAACCCACCAGTCACTCCTCGGAAGGAAGGTTGGGCATTCCTACTTCCGTAGTGATACTGCCTCGGAAACCCAAGGAGGGGTCGCTATGAGCGGGGCCTACTCGATGGCAAATAACAACAGCAACAACAAGCCACTCCATAGGTGAGACCTGGCAATCTGCTCTTGTAAAGATTTCAGCCTAGGAAACCCTATGGGGCAGTTCTACTCTGTCCTCTAGAATTCACTTTACAGCACCTAACAAAAGCACTGAGTGTCCGCCTTTGGAGGTGAGTGAAGGCACGCCTTTATCTTAGCATTTGTATTAGCAAATGCAATGCTAGTCACAGAGAAATTATCAAAAGACCACTTGAATTACTTCTGGGGCTGCCTGACACTTTGAATTACTTGGTGCTGGGCTTGACATGCATGTTCTGGGCAACATCTTTGGTCCCAGGTAAGCTTTTTTTGCAGCCAAGTATTTATTTACAGGCTGCTCTCTTTCAGGGAGTGGAAATCCAACTAGCAGATTACTTTTTCTTCTCCAAACAACCCTGTTTATAGACCTCAGGTGAGTCCAGGACAGGAGTAGGCATTTAGTCATCTCTCTCTCTCAGATGTTCTTTAAGAGGGAAGATGACATTTCAGGAAGGATTTAAGCCTCAGTCTGTTTTTTTTTTTTTAATCCTCCAAAGGTCCAAAGCCTTTTCCATCCTGCTGGCCCTACACCCACCTGGTGGGAAGGGGTGACACTCAGTAGGTGGCTAGCCTCATCCTCAGCTCTGGAGCCCTGCTTCCTGGGGCCCTTTATCTACCCACTCCCTCTCCCCGTGAGGTTAGGGAGACAGACTGCTTTAGGCCTTAGTACCTCTGCCTGGCCCAACATGAATAACACTTTGGCATAAAACCCTTTCACTGCATTAGCTTGTAGACCTAAGGGGCCCACATACCTGAGACTGGGGTGAGAAGCCACAAATCAGAGGTAGTCTTCCTCCCCAAAAGTTTGATTAACCAAACCTCTCAAACCTGCTGAAGTCATGAGGGTGAGGACATAGAGATGGGCATCTGCATTAAACACTGGAGCAGCTCCTTTTGACTGTAGAGACTACTCTCCTGGCCCCATCCTTGCTCTGTCCCTATGGTATAGCTGAGTCCAGGCTCTCATTTTTGCCACCTGTGGCATCTGATGGGACCTCTGGTAGCACAGTGCCTGAGGCACTTGACTGCTAACCAGAAGGCTGGCAGCCAGCCACTCTTTGGAAGGACGATTAGGCGATCCACTTCAGTAGTGATACTGTCTTGGAAACCTAAGGAGGGGTCGCTGTGAGTCGGATACGACTCTATAGCAGTGAGCTTGGTTTTTGATTTGGTGGCATCTGATAATTTGCCTGGACACGTGGAGTCATCCTTCACATACTGGCTGTCAAGTGGGCAACTGGCTGGGAAGGGCCAGGACCAGTGGGGAAAGCCACAAGTCCACAGCAGGGTTCCTTGTGGGGTGCTGTGCTCCCTGTCACCAGAGATTTCTAAGGAGACTAGGGTGCCCAGGGCTCATTTCCCCAGGAATGCCAACGAGGGCATTGCACAGGAGATTGGATTAGCTTCTCTCACAATCTTCTAAATTCTGGGGAATTCCAGTGATGACCTTCATTCCACTTTTCTCTGCTACATGCCCATTGTAGAGATGCCAAAGGCAGGAAGGAGCAAAATGGAATCTCCCCTTTCCTATCTTTGCACAGCTTCCTCCTGGTCCAGGACCACCTGTTCCCAGAATCCTCTGCCTGCTCTGCACATTGGGACATTTTCTGTAGTTTATGTTTGGTCCCTTTGACAAGGTCAAGAACTCTTTAAAATAGAGGAAGGGACTGAAGTTTTATTCACCTTTTTCTCACTGGCCCTCACATAGAGCTGTGCCCACAGGATGGTCCACAAAGGTTCATGAATAAGTGAGTGAGTTAACAATACCAGATAAAGCCTACAGTAGACAATTAAGACCTTTCAACAAGTGATTTCTTCTATTAGGACATGGCCAGCGGAACAGAGCCAATGTGTCTCTCCAACCCCATCCCCTGGCCCTGCTATTTCCCTGCAGCCCCTGGGCAGGAGAAGGAGGTTAGCCAGGATGGGCTGCTGTGCTGACATTGTTGGTGAGGCCCTCTTGTCTGCACTTCGAGATGTCTCCCCTTGATCCTCTGCCCCTCTAATCTGAGCACTTCAGCCTAGGAACGAGAAAGAAAAGGGCCAAAGAGAAAAAGAAGGCACCCCTTTATTCCCTGTGGGGGAGACTCCATAGGGAGCAGCCAGCATCCATCCCCAGGGGGAGCAGGCTCGGTTCTGGGGCCACAGCAAGGCCAGGGCAGTGATGAGGGCACTGCTGGCTCCTTGTGCAGAAGTCCAGGTGGGGGCTCCTGCCCTTCCTCAGAGCTTCTCCAGGTAGGAACCAGGGACGAAGCCACGCTGCCCATTCCGTTCCACTGTCCACCAGCCATCCTCCCCTTCCAGGATGACTGCCAGGATGTCCCCTGTGGAGATGTCCAGTTCCTCGGGATTCTGTGCAAGAGATTCAGAGCACACCAGGCTGGAAGGGCTTGCTGGGAGGATTCTGGGCTAAGCAGTCCCCTGAAGGGGCACCCCATGGAACTTAACTTTCAGTCTTCTCCCTAGTTTGTCACTAGACCTCCGCAACCACCAAAACCTGAGTTGCTTTCCCTCCTTCACCTCCCTGCTGCTCCCTCTTCCCACACTCAGCTCCAGGCACACAGTGACTACAGCCAGCCATTCCCTAAGTCCAACAGGACACTCACCCAAGCCTTGCCTCCCATCTTGGAGAGACTCCCAGGGCTTCCCCTGTGCTGGCTAACCTCTCATACAAGCACACCATCATTTGTTCTTGGCCTGTCTCCCCATCTAGGAACTGGGTTTGCCCCATGGAGCTGACTGGACTCAGGCCAGATGGATGCATCCCTCCCCTCACAGCAGATGGCAGATGGGACTCTGGTCCTCTCTGTGACAGCCTTGAGCTATCCTTTCCCCATGGCCTTTAAAAGATCAACACTAGCACAGCTAAAGGACTTATATTGGCTGTGGCCAGAGAAGAAGGTCCCAATCCTGAGCCTGACCCTCAAGTGGCCCCAGGCTCTGCCAGCTTCCCTGCACAAGTGCACATTCTCAGATATGCACACTCACACACACAGACACACTGCCATGTCTGCATAGTCGTGTGCCCCACGTGTGCATGCATACAGATACAAGCAGACACAGGCACTATATTCAACACATTCAGCACTGAGCCACTCTAAGCATTGGCACTAAGTGCACACACACCCAGCACATTCACAGGCACACATGTGCATGGACGATATTCTCATAGATCATAGCCATCTCTAGATAAATATGGCTCCCCTTCCCACAGTGACCCATCCCTCCCTGGCCCCTGTCTATGCCCAGGTCCAGGAGGTGGCTCACCTGTGCTGTGTAGTCATAGAGTGCCCTGTAGTCCTGGGCTGGTGAGGTGAGGAGTCCTGGCGTATCCTGCACTGCAATGGCAGCGTAGACAACCTCATTCCTCTCAGGGGTGGAGGTCAGGGTCTCTGTGGAGGCTGAGAGCAGGATGAGATCGAGACCCTGTCCCTTCACAAGGACCTTGCCCCTGGAGACCCCTCTTCAGTAGTGTTTCCCAAGGCTTAGCTCAGCCCTCTCCCCTTCTCCATTTGCAGCAGGACACATCCTTCCCCCTTTGAGGCCCTCAGTGGCCCCATCTGTGCCATTTAGGAGTCTTCTCTGCACTGGGGTCACAGTGTGTTGGCCTCCACATCACCCTCAATTACCAGCAGGAGCTGTGGTAGATGTAGTCTTGGGACTTCCATGCAGCAGCCCGGAGAACCTGGGAGTAGGGAGAAAAGAAGCTGGGTCTTACGACAGGGGCTAGGCAGGGCACCCTCAGAGCACCTAGGGCTTTCTCTCCCAGGGCTTAGACACCAAGGTGACTTATGGGGTACACAGTGGATAAGGCATTTGGCTGCTAACCAGAAGGTTGACAGACCCACCAGCTGCTCCATAGAAGGAAGATGGGGCAATCTACTTCTGTAAAGATTCACAGCCCTGAAAACCCAATGGGAGTCACTATGAGTCAGAATCAACTCGATGGCAGTCAGTTTTTTTGCTTTTTTTTCTTGGGCCTGAGGGCTCCCCAACGGGTGGTCCCAGTGTGCCTTGCCTTCCCCAGCAGCACCCTCCCACCCCTTAATTCAGTAGGCCTGTTCTCAGTACCTGCTCCCTTCAGGGCCCCAGAGATCACACTTTGGGGTTCTAGGACCTCCATGCTGCAGCCTTGGGATAATGCCCAGATCTCCATGTCCACCAAGCCCCTATCCAGCCCTCTAACATCTTCTCCACAGGCAAAGGAGCTGGCCTTCAAAGCTCAGCCCATGCCCGCCCACAGGCTGAGCCAGCTTCCTCCCTGAAGTCTCAGTGTCTGAGACAGCTCAGTCACGTCCTGACCATGACAAAAGCAGTCCTCAGTGTGTATGAGTTCTTGGAGGCAGCACCGGGGCTGATGTACCCCATTCCCTACAACTGGCTCTGGCTTGAACCGGGTCATGAAGGTTTCTTGAATAAAATGAACAGAACAAACATGAGGCAGACACTGGGGGCACCTCGTGAAGATGCAGACATGGGCTCTCCATGAAGCAGACTGTAATAAGTGCTAAATAAGTAGAGGCTGGCGCTACTTCCCTGCCTCAGAGAAGGCTTCCCAGAGGAAGTAAGGCTAAGTCTTCAAAGATGAATGAAGCATTAATAGGCATAGCCTGGATGCTGGTGTTGCCAGTGAATGGGAGGGGATACTAAGGTGCAGAGAGGGACTGTATCTGTGAAGTTTGGGGAGTGGAATGGGCCAGCTTGGGGTGTGTGGGAGACATACTGGAATGGGGCTAGGTCAGAGCCCCTGAGTGCCCAGGTGATTCAGGCCTGTGGGAGATTGCCCTGTAATGGGCCCAGAGTGAGGGGAGGGACGTGAAAGGCTTTTTGCCTTGTCCCCTGACCTGAAGACCGGGGTTCCTAGTCAGAAGAACCCATGAGATCTGGGTCCACAAGAGGGGACTAGCCAGGGTGAGCACACTCAGTCCACCTCCCGCCCCACCACCTCTTTGGGATCCTCCTCTTATCTGCCCCTCAGGTCTTATCCTCAGGGGAGCTTGAAGGCAGTTAGGAGCAGGTACAGGGCTGGATGGAGGGTGAGGAAATGCCCAGGCTGACAGGAAGGCCAGGGCAGGGCTGGGGCTCAGGCACCAGGCTTCTCTCTGGAACAGGCCTGAGGGAGGTACAGTCAGCTCCTGAGAATGCTGTATGTCATCCACAAGGGTCAAGGCTTCAGCCAACACAGGGGAGTAACCCAAAGGGGAGAATCTACCCCCCTAAATACCCCCCAGTGGGTTTGTGAGTGGAGACACGTGCTCAGGATAGAAGTACATGGGCACCAAGCATGGAGCTGGGCCCACATGAGAAGGCTAACACACAGGCAGTTGCAGATGTGCACACTGTCTCCCTCCTCCCTACTGGGGCAGCCAGTGGCCATGTTAAAGCCAGAGAGGCTTTGGATGGAGGAACAGAGCAGCCAGTGGTGGGGGCACAGTCTTGTGTTTGCTGAGGCCAGAGTTCCAACTCCCCCACAGTCCTGGCCCCCACATTCCATCTCCCCTCCCACCCCATTTCCCCAGAGTAGTCTTCACTACTGATACCAACTCCTCCCTCTCCTAATTTCTCAGCCACTGCCCCTTGCCCCCAGCTCCTCCAGTCCTTCCTTGCTCTGGCTACCCATCCAGTGGCCATGCTCAAATACAGCCTTGCTCCACCCTCTGGGACCTCTCTCATCCTCATGAGGCACCCTTTTCTGTCCTTGCTTGACACTGCCCCAGGTGAGCTCTTTTGTCCAGTTGCTTAAATGACCACCTCTGCTGAGATCTAGAGGAGCTCTGGTAGCATAGTGCCTAAGGCACTTGACTGCTAACCAGTAGGCTAACGGTTCAAACCCACCAGCCACTCGTCGGAAAGAAGGTTGGGCAATCTACTTCTGTAGTGATACTGCCTCGGAAACCCAAAGAGGGTCGCAATGAGTCGGGGCTGATCCGACGGCACATAACAACAGCTGAGATCCAGGTCCTCACTTCAGGTGCAGGGAGACCTGAGTCCCAAGTTTTTGTAACATTGTGAGGATGTGAATGTGCCTCCTGGGATTATTTTCATGAGATTCTCAAAGAGGTGGACTGTGCACCTCTGCTTTGAGCCTCAGTGATTCCCTTTAGCCTCTGCTTCCTGCCAGGCTTGGTTCAGGATGGCTCCGGAGGCTGGAAGCCTTGGGAATGAGCTGTCTTCAGGGAGCTCTGTAAGCCCCCTCCCACCATGCCCACCTCCCAAAGGCAGGGCCTGCTCCAAGGCTGCTCGCTCTTTGCTGAGGTTGGTTGGAGAGAGGAGGTCATGGAGAAGAGAAGGCCTTGAAGGTGGGGGCATAGGCACCACATGAAACCCGCATATGCTCGTAGATGCCTGCAGACGGGGCACATGGTCCCCTCAGAGACCTGGCTGCTGGGAGGGTCCCCAAGCAGGCTTTGGAACTGTCATCATCGTCACTCATGGACTCCAGGATCTAGAGAGGATGTGCAACACACCTGGGCAACAGATGGAGGCATGGCACTAGGACCCTGCCACCAGGCCAGGGCAGGAACCCTGGAAAAGCCTGGAGAATTCTCTGGCTCCTGCCCTCCTGCCTCCCTGCCCCAGATCCCATGGCAGCTGGAGAGTCTGGCTACCACAGCCCAACAGCCCAGGGCACCAAAGGCTAGGAGCAAGGCCCAAGGGACAAGGTAGTGTTCCTAGAACTCTGAGCAGTCACTAGTGAATAATTGGGTTATGATTATTTGTTTAATGTCTGGGTTTCCTCAGCCTGAGGGTTCCACAAGACTGGGTTGAGCCTGTCTTGTCCCTGCAGAGTGCTCAACAGCTAAACACTGTACCAGGTGCACAGCAGGTGCTTAGTAATCATGTATGAGATGAGTCAGTTGCAGGCAAAGAGGTGGGACCCACTTCAGGCCCTCTCCTCTGTGGCCTACCCCTGTATGCAGCCAGCTGACATCCATTGGGCGCTCACCTCTTTATCATGCCACAGGAAGGCTGTACACCAGGACCACTGGATGGGGCAACCTCCCGATCGTAGTAATTCATGTAGGGCACCGGAGCTGTGGGCAGCAAGTCTGTGAGGCCCAGGTGGCAGAGGGCAGGGTGGGCAACACCTTATGCCACCCAACATCCCAGCCTGTCCCCACCTAGAGACCTAGAGTGGGGCTCCAGTTTCCCATTCTGGCCCTGGCCCATCTGGGGGTCCAAGGAAGCTTACCCAATCTCCTGACAGACCCCACTGTGGGTAGCCACCAAGATTGAATTTTCTGGACTCATATGTTTAAATGGGAACAACTACTGAAGTGGGGGGTTGACCTGTCAGATGCAGGCTGGGGTAGAGACTGAGGAGGCTTCTCACCTCTAATCCTCATCCTCACCTCTCCCTTCTGAGTCTTGTCTTTTCAGCTCTGCTTGTCCACTGCCTCCAGGAGGCAGGAGGCAAAGGACCCAGCCAGGTCCTGTCCTACCCCTGGTCTGGCCAAGGCTCCTGCACCTAGAGGGAGCTGTGAGCTACCCCAGCCCTGTTCTGTACTCGAGGCTCAGAGAACCTAAGCCAGGCCTTCTGGAGTCAGCGGGCCTCACCCGGGGGCTCAGTGCCTGTGCTCTTGGACTGGATGAAGCCATTGATGTCGGCATCCACACTGCAGCCTTCCAATGTCAACCGCACCTCCTCATAGAGCTGGGGCAGAGAAGAGGGAGGCTGTGGGCCAGGGCTCACTTCAATGCCCCACTCAGCTGACACCCTGCCCATCAGGGATATGAACTCTACCCAGGGAGCCCCACCCTACCAGCCTCCCCAGGCCTGGTGCACAGTTCAGCACCTGTATTCAGGGATCTTGGCATGTAACCACTCCAGACCTGCCAGGGCTGATAGCTTAACCTCTCCTTCTTCCTCAACACCTATTGTGTGCACAGCCCTATGCAAGGGACTTAACTTGCCTGTTCTCTAAGGAAGACACTGTTTTCCCCATTTTATAGGTGAGGAAACTCAGAGGAGAAAAGTGACTTGCCCAGCATCACAGAACAAAAATGCAGTGCAGCAGGGTTGGATCCCAGTACAAGGGGTTCTAGAGCTCACACTCCTTCCACTGTGCTGTACAGAAGCCACAGGGAAGCTCAAGTCATCTGATCCACCCCCTCAAGAAAAACCAACCAACCAACCTATAGTCCATGGGCAGAAGGGACAGACAAGGAAAGCAGCAGGCATGGAAGAGTCAGGGCTGCCCTGAGAGAGCTCACAGCTCTGAGGCTGCATTAACAGAGGTCTGGGCCCCTGAGTAGGAATGGTGGGGTAAGGGGAACATGGCAGCCCCTCTCTGCTGAGGAGGATATGGCCCATATTACTCATCATACTGGGCCCAGTCAGGGGAACCAGGACATCCTGGGGGCAGAGTAGAGATTGGACCTGAGTTCTTATAAGCACTAGGGCTGGAGCAGAGCAGCCGGGTCCTCTAGCCTGTCTGGAAACCTCTGAGGGGTGGGTCTGTGGACCCCAAGCAGGTGCTCTGTGGCTCCAAGAACAGAGCCAGGGACCTTAGCAGTGTGTGTGTGTGTGTGTGTGTGTGTGTGTGTGCATGCACAAAGAACAGTCTTCGCGGCAGAGAAGCCAGTGGCTGTGTGTGGTATTGAGCTCCCGCCCTTGAGCAGTGGGAGTAGAGGCTGAGCAGCTATGGTCTGAGACCCAAGACCAGGGCCTGACCACAGAGGACTGGTGTTTACTGACTGACTCAGATGGACCTGACCATACTGTTGTTGTCTCCCACCCACCCTGACCGAGCCCCCACCTCGTCATCCTTGACACACTGCATGGAGAGCTGGTTGCAGTGCACCCACAGGGAGTTACGCAGGATGGTCACCCGGTCAAACTCCTGCAGCTGGAAGGCCTGTGGGGGGTGTGGTGGAGGGTTGGAAGGTATGGTGTGAGGAGGGCTGTGCCCCACCCACAACTCAGCGTGGGGTGACCAGTCACCTTGGCTGAAAGCCAAGTCTAAAGGAAAGACACCCCCCACCATGGGACCCCATTCAAGCCAACCCCTGAGGCTGCTGGGAAGGGAGGTTGAGCTGCTTGTGGGATTTTTGCTCCCACTCTCCCTCTAGATTCCACCACATATTGGGAAAGGCCCTGGGGGTTAGTGAGAGGAGTCTGAGGCCTGTCTTCCAGGCCCTGGGCATTAGCAGGGGCCCAGGGAAGCTATAGGTTTTGAAAAGGGGTGAAGACTCCCAAGCCTGTCTGTGATAAAAGGAGCTAGGGCACAAAGCCAGGGAATGAGCACCATGGGCAGGGGCCCAGCACAGGGCCTGGTGAAGAGTGGGTACACCAAGAATGTGTCTAGTGAGTGGATGAGCGAATGAATGAGTGAGGGAATGAAGGATGCCTTTCCCAACCACTGCTTCATGTGTCCCCATGAAGCAGCAAGAACAGGAGTGGACTTTTTCCCATTTTGCAGCTGGGGAAACAAGCTCCACACTGGGTCACTCACCTCGCAGGTGGTCCGGTGCTCCTGCTCCCACTCACCCCGCACCTTCTCCAGCTGCTCGATGTTCTGCTTGTACACCCGATCTGGAATTACAGTTGGCCCTCAGGGAGGCCCACCACCTGAGATACCCCCCACACCCCAAGCACGAGCTCCTCCATACCTCTGCAGTCTCTTCCCAAATCCTTGGAGCCCCACCTCCCCGAGAGACCTGCCCTGGCCTTGGGCAGTGCTTCCTTTGAATGATGTCAGGGCTGCCCCTCTGGTCCTGCCCTCAACAGGGTGACTCAGTTCTTCCACTCTGTCTCTGAGCTACTGGGGGCTAGAATGGAGACACACTGGACACACGTCCAGAGTCCTGGCCTCTCACTATCCCTCAGTGCCACCCCCTCACTTTCGATGGGAAACAGGCTTAGAGAGGCAGTAGTGCACTGGAGGAGCATGATGGGAGCATCGGGAGACAAGGCTGGGAGACAAGCAGGCTTGGGTCATTACTCCCATCCCCAGATCTCCGGGGGTCATCTGCTCCCAACCAGGGAAGTAGGCAGGTCCTGGAAGAGGCAGAGTAGGAGAGCCTTACTGAGGGAAGGGAGCGGGGGTGAGCTCTCCATCCTAGGAAGTGTGCCAGCAGGGACAAAGGGGACTGGGGGGATTCTGGCATCAGGTGAATACTAGACGAGACAAAGGCCCAGAGAAGGCTGTGCATGTTCAAGTTTGTGTTTGTGTGCAAGTCTGTGAGAGCATGTGTGTGTGTGATATGAGTGGGTCTGCCTCCCATGGAAGGCATGAATGTATCCCAGGATCTAGGCTCTGGAGCCAGATGACATGGGTTCAGATACAGTCACCACCATTACTTGGCTGTGTGACCTTGGGCAAGTTACTTAACCTCTATGTTCCTCAGTTTGCTCATCTGTTGAAAAAAGGAGGATAATAACAGCACCTACCTTATAGGATCATTGTGAGGATTAATTAAAATATGTAAAGCACCAAGAACAGTCTTGGCAAACAAGAGAACACATGTTTTAATTGCAGAAATAAGGAAATGACTGTGACATGCCTGTGACTCTGTGTAGGTGGGTGTTGTCGTAGTTGAGGTTATGTGTCAACTTGGTTGGGCCTGATTTTGAGTGGCTGGGCAGCTGGATGTAGTTATTCCCTATCATGAGACTGGTAATCAGCTCCATGGTGGAATCTGCTATGAGTTGCTGGGTAGCTAGCTGCCTTAGGGATGTGGTCTGCTTCCAGTATAGTATAAGGAGAAGCTAGGAGAAAGGCTTTGAGCTTTTTGTCATGCTTGGATCCTGCAGTTAGCTGAGTCTTCATTCAGCAGCCTGCCATGCTGTCTGACAATCTTAGGACTGTTTCTGGACTTGAACTAGTGGCCTGCCATGTTGCTAATCTTGAGACTGTGCCATTTTACTTGTCAACCTTGGGTTCGTCATCCTCAGCAGCCAGCAGCTGCCTGAGTTAAGAGATGCCTCCAGCTCCAGTGGGCCGGGAACAAAAGGAAGAGCTGAACCCCAAGGTTGAGGGGCCTTCACCCAACCCTCAGACCTGGCACTTTGAACTCAGACTTCTAGCCTCCTAAATTGTAAGAGAATAAATCCCTGTTTGTTAAAGCCATATAGTTGTAGTAAGTCTGTTACAGCAACACTAGAGAAGCAAAACAGGTGTGAATGTAAGTGTCCCCAGGACTAGGAAGTATACAGTGGGGATGACTGTCCAGGCCACAAAACCGGTCTCAGAAAGCAGGCAAGGCCCACGTACCTGCCTCCATGGCTGATTCCTTGCACTGCTTGGCTTTGTTCTGGCTCTGAGGAAATAGAGAAGCAGTGCTGAGCCCTTGCCATCCCTCAGAGAGCCAGGATCCAGCCAGTGCAGCCCTGGAGCCCTGGGGGCCCTGAGCCTCCCTGGGCTACTCCAAAGTGACTCTCTTACTCCCTCTCCATCCTTCAAAGGGGAGACTCAAGAGCCAGCTATGGACAGATTCCATCATTTACTGCTAGCCTCACCCCCACAAAAGAACCCAGGCAAGTTCCATAAAAAAGCATAAGAACAGGTAGCTCTAGCTATAGGCCTGAATACCCCACATGGCCACTGCTAAATCCACTGGCCAGGACTTGAGCTCTGACTCCTGACATGAGTGCCCCTACTCACTGCTAAGCTCCTACCATCTCTGGGCCTCAGTTTTCCTGTCTGTGCAATAGACAAAATATGTTCTTGGGCCCTGGTGGCTCTGATCCCTCACTACCACCACCCAGCCTGGCCCATGGGAGAGGCTGCCCTTGGCATCCTGGAGATCAGAGCAGACAAGAGCTTGGGCTCTGGACAGGCCTAAGTTTGGATCCTTTCTCTGCTGCATCCTGGCTCCAAGACTTGGGGCAAGTTGCCTGCTGTCTCTGGGCCTCAGTTTCCCCTCTGTGACACTGGTCTACTGAGCCCCTCTCCAAGGGTTGTGTAAGGTTCTATGAGACACCACATGGGTTTAGGGGCATGAGCTGGGGTTGCTATAACCTCTGCTTTCTGCCCTGTGAGCTCTGGCCTGGGCCATAGTGGGCCTGCACTGAGGATTAAGGCCTGGGGTGCAGCCTGGACATGGAAAAGGGATCCTCATCTGTCCATACCCTGAGATTCTAGGCATCTCATTCCACAGATGGGGAGACTTGAGGCCCAGAGAGGGTGCAGGATGGTCAAATGGGTGAAAGGCCAGCAGGTACTACAAAGCAGGCCTTACCTGAGGGTCTGTAGCACCCTCTCCTGGCCTACCCACCCTGCCCCTACCCTGGTCACACCACATGGTCCCAGTATCCCCACGCACCTTCTCCACCTGCTTCTGCTGGCCATTGGCACTGATGCGCTCGAAGGCCTGCTCGGCGTCGTCCGCGTCCCGGCACTTCTGCTCATACGTCTTCTTGGACTGGGGGTATGAAGGGGAGAGACTTGGGGGGTCTCTCTGAACAGATCTACTTTTTCTCTCAGAAATGCTCCCTGAGCTCAACTTCCTTTATCCCTGTTGGTGCTATGGGTAGAGTGGGGGCATCCTTGTCAGGGACAGGGATCTGGGGTCTGGAATGGAGATGGAGAAGGGGTGGGGGCTGGTGGCAAAGTCTCATCCCCAGATCCCTTCCCTCTGTGGACAGCATAACTTTCACCTGAACTCTTTGGGGTTGTAGATAATAATAATGAACCACTAGCATGTCCCTGAAAGTCCTCATGGTGCTAAGCCTCTGCCCATGCTGGTCCCTTGCATTGAGCACTGTTTTCCTTTATTGCTTAGTGCCCTGTGGGGCACCACTCAGGGGTCCTTCCTCCCTCCATCTCTGGAGTCTCCAGCTGACAACATGCATCACCTGTGGACCACTGTCTGGGACACTCAGTCTGTCCATCAGTCCCCCAAGGGCAGGGCCTGGCTGATCCACTTGAGGGCTTGACACCCAGTGCAGGCCTGACCATCCAGCAGGCTGCAATGTGTGTGGCTGGACAGAGTGCTGAAGCAAGTGCCCTCCTGGATCCTAGCCCAGGGCCCCTGGAGACCATGCTCTGAGTGCTGCCACCCTCAACTGAGGAGGGTCCCAAGATCTTTGCACTCACCTCCATTGTCTTCTTGTACAGTGACAGCTTGCTCTTCTGGACACGGTCCATGATGGCCTCGTACTGCAGGGGACACGAGGCTCTGAGCGGGGGGGCCACAACCTCAGGATGCTCCCCTAGGCCAAGAGGACGGGTGTCCCTGGGATGAGGCGCAGCACCCCCTGGCTCTGAGGGACAGGATCCCAAGAGCACCGGAACAGAGATAAAGAGAAGCCCAGTAATGCCCATCATGTTCTCCTTGCTGCAGACCCCAGACAAGTTTCTAGTCAAGAAACATCCAGCCTACACACACACACACACACACACAACACACACACAGTCCCTCCTCTTTAGCCCCTGTACACACAAACATGCACACACACTGATCCACATGTGCATGCAAAGTCTCCATGACACACACTTAGAAGTACACACTAACAGGCCCCCACACTCCCAGCTGCTCACATACCGGCCTTCATGCACACCCACATACACACGCAAGTCCACTCCCCAATGCTCATATGTGCACAGCCATGGGCTGCTCATGGATGACATATATGCACGAAGCATACTTGTCAGCACATGCGGGTACACCAGGTACCACACTGCTGATTTCTTATTCCCAAAGAAAAGATGAAACTCAGCCTAGAAAGAGACTGAGTGATAAGGTATGAGGAGAACTGGAAATGAAACACCCCTCAAATTGGAGCTGGAGCCAGTTTGTGCTGGGGTCTTAGTGGGGGCCCTGTGCCAGCTAGGGGACCTCAGCAAGTTATCTTGTCACAGAGGTACAAGCCCACAAAGCCAGACAAGGACACATGTCCATGCTCTCTGCACACACACACACACACATATACACACAATGTATGTGTATACATGTGCCATGTGCCTCCCACACAGGCTCACCACACCCTATGTCATGGCTCTGCTTGCAGGGCTCTGGAAGCTCAACAGCTTTTGCAGACATCACAGCTCTTCTCAACACAGGAGAGCTCAAAATAGCAGGCCAGTCACAGCAGGTGCTCTGTGGGCAAATTCTACCTCAGAGGGGTTGCTTGCTCCAGCTGGGCTGGCTTCTGATGCCAGCTTTGGGGACTCATTGTCTGCTCTGGAATCTAAATTTAGAATCCTGAAAGCCTGAGGCATCAGCTGGCCTGATGGACAGGCAGGGATGCAGCCACACTGAAGTTTTGTGACCAGAGCCACTAATCAGAGCTAGTACCTGTCTGTGAACACTCAAGGAGCCTGGGCTGCACTGGGCCCTCAAAGCTTGGGAGGTGGGTATATTGCCCCATCCTGTGAAAGGGAGACCAAGGCACAGAGGGGATGTGGCTTGGCCAGGACATCAGGCTCAGGCCAGCTAGAGGGCCTATCACCTCCTCAGGGTGATGAGGGTAACCTCCACTTGGGGCCCCAGGATGGGGAGCTGCTTTCCCCTCTCTCACCCCCTCTCACCTTTTTCCTCTGTTCTTTCTGCCTCTCACGGAACTCCTCAAGGCTCCGCAGCTCCTCACGCAGGGCCAGGGCCAGCTGGATGTGTGAGCTGCCCACGTTCTCCATTTCTAGGGCAGAATATGGAAATGTCAGACCTGATGGGCCTTGGCTACCCACACACTGGCCCCTGTCTGGACCCACCCAGGCCCTGTGCCTTGTCTTCTGTCCCTACTTCCCAAATTATTCTGGTGCAAAGCTGCAAAGCTGGGCTATAGCCTTAGGTCACCCCTCACCACCTCTCTCTATGGAGGAGGTGAGGTTCCCAGGAGGCCTGTTCCCCCGCAGCCTTCGGGTGGGGAGCAGCCAGGACTTACGCTGTTTCAGGGAGTCAAAGGAGGCCCTCAGGGAGCTGTAAAACAGAAAGGCCGGTCAGCTGGAGGGACACAGCACAGACCTGAACTCCGCGGGCCTCTTTGGGAAAGGGCCCTTGGCAGCTCACATGTGCTGCTCCAGACAGGATGCCGTAGCCACAGGGACTGTTCATGTGGCTCCAAATGGAGTTTCTGGAAGGCAAAGCCCTGTCTGAAAATTATAAAGCAATCATGCCTTCCCCTGTGAGAGAAGAAGGAATCATCAAAGCCCCCACCTCAGTCTGCTCCTGGCTGCATTCTTAGAGAAGGGGAGACTGTCCTTCTGGGTCCTCCCTCTCTCCTTCAACCCCTCTCCAACAATGGCGCTGCCTCTCTCAATGACTTCAGGTTCCCAGGGCCCTCAGGTTAAGTTTGAAGAAGAGGAGGGCAATGTTCAGATCTGGGTTTCTGCAGGTGGCATGTGGGATGTTTCGGAAATCAATTGGGAGGGGGCAGGGCAGGCAGGGGGCAGGGACTCAAGGAGGGGAGAGATGTGAGGGGCCTTAGCAGGCTGATGGATAGGACGAGACAGGATGTGCAGGTGAAGACAGTGAAAGACTCTTCCTTATCTGTCTTGGGGGGTTGAATGGGGCACCAGTAGGGGAGCAGGTTTGAAGGACAGGAGGGGAAGCAAGGGACTTTAGGGTGCACTGAGCTTGGGATCAGGAGGCAGCAGGGTGAGCCAGTCTGGAATAGAGATGTGCACTGACAGCTCCAAAGGAAGGTATCAGAGGGCATCAGAGAAAGCAGGATGGGAAGAGGCTGACACGAGGCCCAGGGTGGAGGAAAGTGAATAACATATGGGACATACACTAAAAAAGTATTTGTTGTTTTTCTGAAATTCAAATTTAGCTGAGCAGTCTGTATTTTATCTGACAACTCTGCTGAGGGAGCTCTCCCAAAGAGCCACGGACAGAGCTGAAGCCTGAGCAATGAGTAATGGAGCAGGCTAATGAGTAACGGAGTACCTCAGGGCAGAGGGGTCCCCGGGGCAGAAACAGGACCAATGGTGGAAAGCATCTCTCCCCAGCCCATCAGCTCTCAGAGGGCTGAGCTCCACATCCCCGGGAAGGGAGAGGGTGTGGAAGCCCAGTCTAGGAAACCAGCAGGATCTGGGCAGGGCCTTCTTCCTGCTCTAGACTTCCACATGTATTAGAAATAGTCACTGGAGCCAGACAGCATGGGTTCAATCCATGCTCTGCCTCTCACTCGCTGTGTGACTTTGGGCAAGTTACCTAACTTCTCTGTGTCTCAATTTTCCCTTCTGTAAAGCAGGGATAGTAATAGCTCAAACAGGATGGTTGTGAGGAATAAATGAGTTTATATATATAAAGAACCTTCACATGGACCTGTTAAAAAGTAGGTGCTTTCCATGGGTTGTCACTATTGTTGTGGAACCATCCCCAGAGCCCACTTCTACACACCCTGACAGATCCTGGAGGTCTCACAGGCCCTGCAACCTGACCTGGGCTGTCCCTGCCCCCCAAACACCCCTGGAGAACTTAACGAAATGCTCCCTTCTTGCCAGGAAACCCCCATGGGACCTGACCTCAGGTAGGGGGTCCCCAGCAGGTGTCTCTCTCCCTACCCCTCACAGCAGCCTGTGGGCATAAGGAGTAGACACATGTTCAGGAACATGTATGCGAGGGATGCCCATGCCTGCGGCACCCCCAGCGTGGACCCACAAGTGGCAAATCTCCAAACGCACAAAGACACGAGCGTGTGGCATGGGCCCATGTGAGCCAAGTCTCCAAGTGCAGGAAGACTTGGGCGCGTGGCTGATGCAGATTGGTTGCAAGGATGAGGCTCCTTAACTCTCAGGGGTAAAATTCTCCACTTGTGTTCAGATCGTCTTAACCTTGTTGTTGTTGTTACATGCTGTTGAGTTGTCTCCAACTCCTAGCGACCCCTCCTTGGGTTTCCAAGGTGGTATCTACATGGAAGTAGATTGCCCAATCTTCCTTCCGAGGAGTGGCTGATGGGTTTGAACCGCCAGCCTTCTGGTTATCAGTCAAGTGCCTTAGGTACTATGCCACCAGAATCCCCCCTTCACCTTGTTGTTGTTGTTACGTGCCGTCGAGTTGGACCCGACTCAGTGACCCCTCCTTGGGTTGCCGAGGCAGTATCACTACGGAAGTAGATTGCCCAACCTTCCTTCCGAGGAGTGGCTGGTGGGTTTTAACTGCCAGCCTTCTGGTTAGCAGTCAAGTGCCTTAGGCACCAGAGCCCACCCCCCTTAACCTTAGGAGGTAGAACATGCCGTGGGCTCCTTCCTGACCAGGACACCCGAGGTGCCACAGTCAGTCAAAGTGGATAGGGGAAATGAGGCCAGAGCATGGCCAGGCTTGCTGGGGTCACATCCTGCCTCTATCTCCCGGGCTGCTGCAGTTTTGGGCCTGGCAGGACTGGTGCCTCCTTCTGTGGAGCAGCTCGCCTGCCCCCTGGTGTCCACAAGGCCTCATGACACCCATTGCTGTGGCTCTGCAGGGGGCTCCCTTGTCTCATTAAACAACTAAGGAAACTGAGACCCCAGGAGGAGCTGAAACTGCAGGACCCACTGAGATGCAGGCTTAGGGGAGAACTCTGGGGACCTACTTAATGCCAGACCAAGAAAAAAACGCACCGTCATCGAGTCAGTTCCAACTCATAGTGATCCTATAGACAGAGTAGAACTGCCCCATAGGGTTTCCAAGGCTGTAAATCTTTACAGAAGCAGACTGTCACATCTTTCTCCTACAGAGCGGGCAGGTGAGTTGGAACCATCAACCCTTTGGTTAGCAGCCAAATGCTTTAACCACTGCACCACCAGAGCTCCTGTAATGCCAGACACCTTATCCTAGTGGCTCTCAAAGTGTGATCCACAGACCAGCAGCATAAGCATCACTTGGGAGCTTGTTGGAAATGCTGACTCTCAGCCCCCATGCCTGCCCTCCTGAGGCAGAAACTCTGGGCCCAACGCTCTGTATTTTGACACACCTCCAGGTGCTGCTGATGCCACTGGCCTAAATTATTTAATCCTCACAACTTGGCAAGGAGGAGGGTGTATCTTTTACCCCCATTTTCCAGATGAGTAAACTAGGGTCAAAGAGGTGAAGAAACTGCCTCATGGCTACATGACTGGCAAGAGAGGGAGGGTGGTGAGACCCAGGCGAGAACAAAGGAGGAAGAGGGGTGACTGCCACGGTGACCCCCACCTTCCCTTGGGTGGGTTGTTCGGGACTCTGACAGACTTTACTTTATGACAGACTTGACTTCTCACCAGCAAGCACATCAGTCCTTCTTCCCAACATACTCATCTCTTTGTTCTTTCTCCCCGTTAATGGTTACAGCCCTTCCAGGCTCAGTGAGGCTCTTCTGCATCCCACTCTCCCTCACCCACCCCGTGTCTCCCACACCATCTACCAGTCCCTACCTCCTTCATGGCCACACCCTACTCAGACCCCTCTTCCAGAGCTCAGGACCTGCACATGTACTGCCTGGACTTCATTTCCTTTTGGATTTCATATCTCACAGACACTTCAGTGTGTCCCAAACTGGCCTCAGCGCCTGCCCCACAAACCTGTTCCTCCTGTAGGTCTCGCCACTCAGGAAGGGCACTACTGTTCACCTGGCTACACCTACCAAAAGCCCACGGGTCGTCTGTGGCTTTGTCCTCTCCCTCCCCCTGCCATCACTCTCTGTTTTATTTGCTCTCATACCTGTCCACCTCTCACTGTCACCACCCTGTCTGTGCCCCCTTCACCCTCTATTCTCACTTCCTACCCATTAACAGCCCTCTCTGCCTCTCAGTCACCTGGCTCCCATCATGCTCCCTGTCACCCCAGGGCCTTTGCATGTGCTAATTTTCCCTTGCCTGGTATCCTTTTCTTTCCCTTCTGAGCACTTGTCCCTGCTGTCAAGTTGCGTGCAGTGTCACCCCCACTAGACTGTGAGGTTTTGAAGCAGGCCTGATGCCTGGTTCTTCTCCCTTTTGTTCCCAGGCTCATAGCCCAGAGCTGCAAACTCAACACTCAATAAATATTGAGGTCTTCCTCAACCCAAACCCACGGTGCCTCTCCTTGGTCCATCTCTCAGGCCCTCCTCCCAGGCCCAGGGTGGCTATAAGGAATCATAGTCTGTGGGAGCAGCTGATCCTTCCTCCTCCCTCCCGAAGCAGCAGCACTGCCAGGTGGAAGTTCAGCCTCTGGCCCCTCCCCAAGACAGTTAGATGATAACAAAGTTCATGCTCACCTCCAGTTCCATTTGCCCACATGAACCTGGGCCTCAGGAGCTGTGCTCACTCTTGGGATAACTAGCAGGGATCACAGGCTCTGACCACTCTAGGTCCCCCATCTGCTCCTCCTGGGCTGGAGACTTTCCTGCTGGCCCCACCTAATCCCATCACTGACACCTGAAAGCCAAGCCAACACAGTTTGACTCATACAGCCAGGCCCAGGACACTCTCTCTCTCCTTAGAGACTCCAGATTTCTGAAGAGGCAGCATCAGCTCTGTGGTTGAGGGAAGGACCTTTACTTTGCCCAGGACCAGAGGTAGCCCACCATGAGTTAGCAGACTCTCTTCAAGTGACTGACATTAAAGTCTGATCTGATGGAGGGTCTGAGGCCCTCCTGAAGTCTCTCTCTCTGCCCTGTGAGATCCCAGCTTTCTGTCACTCCTGCATTCCTCCAACTTGCTCCTCAGAGGAACATATCAAGAGCTCCCTGAGCTCTCCTCTATTCTTTCTTCATTGCATATCCAGGACAGGGGTCTCCTATACAGTCCTCCATTTCCTGTAAACAGTAACCAGTGCCTTCATGGGTAACTCATCCCATTGTCCTTTTTGACTTGGCTGTCAGGAAGCTCAGCTTGAAATTCTGTGTTCAAATGCAGAGTAGAATACCAGTATAAGTCATCCCCTCACTCTCCCTACCCAATGGCATGTGCCACCTCCAGTCCTACTTTGGCATCTCTATCCCTTGTCCACCTGCCAGCTAGAATGTGCCCCTTTCCCAAGTGACAGGAGAGCTGGTGGTGTCAGAGGACACCTGACAGGAATGAAGCTTGTCTGTTTCTCCTCCCAGCATCCTCAGTGATGTTTTCATTCTCTCTGAGCTCAGAAGAGAAAATAATCTCTTCTGACAGGAAAACCATGACACATTAGGCTGTTACAAGTGAGGATTGGGCAGGCTGAGGGGATTCAAACCTGCACCTCTTGGGCTGTTGTCCTTACTCCTTGGAAGCTGCATAGGGGCTCACAGGAAGCTGACCCCCAGCCCTGCCTACCTTGATTCCACTGTTTCCTGAGCCCTTGCCCTTGCCCTGTGCAAGGAGTATGTGGACATCCCCAGCACCCAATTGGGGGCAGGATGAACAAAAGGGGGGCGAGGAGGGGGAGGTGAGCACATCTGGCTGGGGGGGAGGGGAGCGAGCACAATACCTCCAAGGATGGATCAGACTGAGCAGGGGAGAAGCAAGCAAGGATAATCCTAGTGGGGCAACAGCAGGAACACAAGTTGGGAGGCAAGAGTACAGAGTCAGGTGAACTTCCTGCAGGGTTGGTTGAGTGCTTTAAGCCATGTTGATAAACCCCCTGCACACACCTCCTGCTGTCTGTAAAATGCATAGAAAGCTCTCCTGGGGATCCTTGGGGTTTGGGGACCAGGTCTTTTTTGTGCGTCCTACTTACCCATTGCCCAGCAGGTGTTGGCTGAGTGAATGTGTGAAGAAGGCAAATGCTAAAAATCATCTGAAGATGGGAACTACCTCCTTTTAATTTATGTGGCTTAAGCTACCAGGCCTGAGTGAAGCTTCTGGATGGTTTGAGGTCTGGGGATAACATAGGAGTGCTACATCTTTCAGGCATTTGCTAGGCTATTTCTGGGGCCACTTAACCACCTCTGGCTTTTGTCCTTCCTGTCTGCCCCTGCCCCAGTGTTTCCACCTCCCAACCCCTGCCCACCCTCCAGGGGCTGAGAATGAGCATCCCACAAGACCTAGGGGGTCAGTTGCAGGCCAAGGGGAGGCCAGGGACACTCCTCTACCCAGGGATGATCCCTGCAAGCTCCCTTTTAGAGGGAGTGGGCAACCCTAAGACACATGAGTCTCAGCAATGAGGAAATGACTCAGGTTGTCATGGCTGTCACTCACACATCCCTCAAAGAGTCTTCTCTGTTGGCATGGGGTTGTGGGTACCTGGTCTAACCCAAGACCCTGAGAGTAAAGCAAGGTTGGGTTGTCCAGGAGGACTTCCTGGAAGATGTGAGGCATAAGAGAACCCTGAAGGCAGGTTCCAATGCCAAGAACTAGGGAGGAGAGTGAAATTTTTGTTTTTCAAGTTCTTGACTCAGGCCTGACTCAGCTAGGGTATGGCATATATTAGATGCTCAAGAAATGCTTGGTGATTACATGAGTATGATGGATGCTTGCCACACAGAATGCAAATGGAATTACTGAGTGACCTCATCTGGTCCTGGTATATGCCACATGCAGCAACAGCAACACATATTGAGCACGTACTGTGTGCAGTGACTTGAGCTGGGAGCTGCATGGAGCATGGCCCTATGGGAAAGAGTAGGTGAGCTGGGATGAGTTCAGCTCCTGCTCTTCCTATCATTTACTGGCTCTGTATGTACCCTGGCCTTTCTCACCTCCAAGCTTTTGTCCATGTAGGTAACTCTAGCAGGAATTCCCTCCCCTTCCTCTCCATCTGCCTTCTGTCCTTCCCTTCTCCCCTCCCTCCCAAGAGGTGCTCTCCCCAGTCCACTGCTCTGCCCTGCTCCTCTGGCCACCCCAGCCTGATGGTGAGTTCCAAGCAATGCTGGCTTCTCACTCCTCACTCTCCACCTGATCTGGGGATGGTGGTGACTGGGCTGTGGGGCCAACAGGAACCGCGGACTCAGACCCACTATGCATTTTGTTTCTGCTTTTCCTGGTTCAAGGAGCTCTGGTGGCATAGTGCCTAAGGCATTGGACTGCTAACCAGAAGGCTGGCAGTTCAAACCCACCAGCAACTTCTCAGAAGGAAGACTAGGCAATCTACTTCTATAGAGATACCACCTCAGAAACCCAAGGAGAGGTCATGATGAGTCAGAACTAACCTGACAGCAGTGAGTTTTTTTTCCTGCTTCAGGTTTGGTTGAGTGATGGGACCTGGCATTCTCAAACCCAGGGTCCTTGGTAGGAAGACAGGCTCTACTCCTTGCTGCAGCTTGGGGTTCCACCATCAGAGCACCCGCTTTGGATTAAGGCCTCCTCCTCCAGGGACTTCCAGCCTCTAGCTTCTCTTAAGCGCTCTTGGCTCTGGCCCAGGGAAGGTTGGGCCCAAAAGAAAATGGCCTAAGCATCCCAGTCAGGTTCTTCAGGCCCAAGCCAGGGTGACTCCAAGTTTTCTGACATAAGGTGGGGTGAGATGGGGAGGGGTGGAGTCCGGGGACAATGAGGCTGTAAAAACCTGGGTGCTTATTAAGCATTCCTGGTGTGCTTGGCACTCTCTGCAGTCATTGTGACTGCCCTATTTCACAGCTGAGCACCCAGGACTCAGAGAGGGGGAGTGACCTCCTCAAGGTCATGTAGTGCATAAGTCAGGGCAGACCCTGCCCCACTCAGCCTCCCGTCATCACAAAGGGAATCAGGGCTGCCCGGAGCCTCACTCTGGCCACTTTATGTTCCTAAAAATGGGGCAAGATACTACATACCTCCTCAACCTTGCACTGCCCACCCGGCTCCCCCACACCATCTTGCTTCCTCTGTTGGTAGTTGCTTCTTCCTCTCTGTGACTCACAGCCTCCTGAGCATGCCTCAGAGTTCCTTCAGCAGCACCCTCTCCGACTCTCCCAGCTGTCTGAATCCAACCCTTATGAGGTCCCCTCTCTTCCTGGGAACATTCTCATTTCTGGCTAACCTGGTTGGCCACGAGGCCAGCAGGGACTTCTCCTCAATTATCCTCCCCCACCCCATACAGCCAGCACCTTTGCTGCCTGGGTGTCCTCTGTCAGTTCCATCAGATAGCCCTGGGCACCAGCTCCCTGGGGATGACAAAAGCAGGTCCCAGCAGGCTTAAACATTCTCTGAACCCTCCTCTGTGCCCAGTATGGATCCAGCCCTCAGTGCAGCCCTCTTGTATATCTTCACAACAACCCACCAAGTGGGCAAATGAGAAACAGAGAGGTTAAGCAACTTGCCCACAGTCACACAGCTCACAAAGGCTGAGCAGGGGTTCAAGCTCAGGCCTTCTCACTCCTAGGGTTACATGCACACTCAGCAACACACAGACCCTTTGGGCAATGCATGTTAATCTCCTCTGGCTCGCACCACTGCTTCCAGTCCTCATATTTTCTCTGGCTCCCCATGGGAAACAGGAGCCAGATAGGGTCTTTGGAAGGGCTAGAAAGTGCTGTATATTCCCAAATGAGGGACCAACTTCAGGCTTCAGAGCCTTTGGGGCCACCTCCCTTGGGCAGAGTCAGGCATGTCACAGGCTTGCCTTCCAGGGGAGTAGGTGCTATGGCAGCTGCAGGCTGGGGTCAGCCTAGGGGTCCCTAGGTAAGACAAGAATGCTCATCAGAGCCCTTTGGGGACTTGGGGTCCAGCACCCTGTTTGATCCTCAGCCTGGCTCGGCCCTCACCCAACAGGGAGAGTACACACCCTCCCGAGGCAGCTCATCCACTCCACTGTTAGAAACTTCTCCCTTCAGCCGTCCTGAAATCCATCCACCCTCTCCCCATCTCCCCCTGCACACAGAGTCCAAAGCATCTAAGGAAGGAAAACCTCATCCTTGCTTCATAGTAATAACTACTCTTATTATCTCTCCTCTGAGCCAGGTGTGACCTGATCCCCAGAACTCATTTAATCCTTTCAGGATTGAGTTCATCTCACTGACGAGGAAATGGAGGCACAGAGACTTTTAGTGACCAGCCCAATGACACAAAACAGGTGGGTGAGGAGCTGGGATGTGGACCCAGCTGTGTCTTCTCCCAGCCCCTGTCTCGGGCCACATCTCTGCTTGAAGCCCAGGCTAAGCCAATGCTGCCAGGGGTCTCGGCAGTCCAGTACAGGGCCCTGTTGTCCACCTCCCTCAAGACTCAGAGATGTGCGTCAGGCTACCAGGCTGCAAGCTCCCATGGGCTGGGGCTCCCTGCCCCCTGAGGCCTGTTCATTTCTAGCACTCAGACCCCTGATTTTTTTCCCACACACAGAGCCTGGCCTCCCAGAGGCTCTTGCCCAGAATGCCTACTACCTGAGAGTGCCAAGGAGGGACCTGACTCCCCTGCCCATGTATGTAAGTGAGCCCTGCCTGCTGGCTGGGCACTGGGCATAGCACCTGGCATCGGAGCTCACAGACCCTCCCTGCTCCTCCCCAGCCCACCCCTCACCAGGAAGACTTAAACCTTCCAAAGGGCCCAGACGGTGCCTGGAAAAGGAGAGGACTGAGCCCTAGGGCTGGGGACCTCTTACTTGATCTCTGTCTGGCCACCTGCCTTCCGGGCAATCTGCACCAGCTCTTTTCCATATCGTTCCTCCGCTTGGGCCCTGCAAGAACCAGATGTGGACCTTCAGTCTCCCAGTGCAGCCACCTGCAGGGCCCTAAAACCCTGAGGCAGAAGCTGAGCTTCCAACCATTCGGCCTTAGGGAGCAGGCCTTGTCCTGCAGGCTGCTTCTTGCAAAAGACAAGCCACCAGCTCTGCCTCTAAATATATGTTGGCCAAATCCAGGGACATTTGAAGGTATGTCACATTTTTTTGTCCACTTGGGGCCCCAAAAAACTTGAGGAGGTCCAAGTCTGGAGACAAAAGGAGGATAAAATCAAAAACCAAACTCACTGCCATCAAGTCGATCCCAGCTTATAGTGACCCCTCCTTGGGTTTCTGAGGCAGTATCTCTACAAAAGTAGATCGCCCAGTCTTCCTTCTGAGGACTGGGTGGGTTTGAACCGCCAGCCTTCTGGTTAGCAATCCAATGCCTTAGGCACTATACCACCAGAGCTTCCACGGAAGATGGGACTGCTGAACTTTCAGAGCAAGAGTGCTCTGAGAGCAGCTTAACTGGAGTGGAGGAGGTGGCGTGGTCACTTCCTGAGGGGCTGGTGAAGGCATTGAACAAAGCCCAACACTCTTTCATGATAAAGGAGTCCCTGGGTGGTGCAAATGGTTAACCACCGAGAAGCTTCAGGTTTGAGTCCACTCAGAAGCACCTCAGAGGAAAAGCCTGGTGATTTACTTCCAAAAAACCAGCCCCTGAAAACCCTACGGAGCACAGTTCTAGTCTCATACACAGGGAGTCACCATGAGTCAGAGTCTATTTGACAGCAACTGGTTTTGTTTTTTATTCCAGTGATAAAAATACTCAGAAAACTAGGAATAGAAGGCCAGTTCCTCAACATGCTAAAGGGCTTTTATGAAAATTCCAGTTACCATCACACTCAGTGGAGAAAGACAGAGCTTTCTCTCTAAGATCAGACACAAGACAAGGATGATTGCTCTCACCACCGCTGTTCAGCCTGGTACTAGAAGTTATAGCCAGGGCAGTTAGGCAAGAAAAAGAAATAAACATCTACAAAAACCAAATCAAACCCACTGCCATCAAGTCGATTCTGACTCATAGTGACCACCATTGGGTTTCCAAGGCAGGAAATCTTTACAGAAGTAGATTGCCCAGTCTTGCTTCTGATAAACATCTATATGTACATCTCTGGTAGTGTAGCACCTAAGGCATTTGCTTACCAGAAGTTTGGTGGTTCAAACCCACCAGCCACTCCTCAGAAGGAAGATTGGGCAATCTATTTCCATAGAGATACCAAAAAACCACCAAACTCACTGCCACCGAGTCAGATCCGACTTATAGTGACCCCTCCTTGGGATTCACTATGGAAGTACAATGCCCAATCTTCACCTTGGAAACCCAAGGAGGGGTTGCTGTGAGTCGAATCAGCTCCACGGCAGTGAGTTTGGTTTGGTTTTTTATACATCTAAAACAGTGGTAGTTAAAGTTGGGTGTTAACTTGTCTGGGCCGTGGTTTTGAGTGGCCAGGCAGCTGGATGTAGTTATTAACCATATTGAAATTATAATCACCTTCATGGTGGAATCCGCTGTGAGCAGTTAGGGAGCTGCCTTTGAGGTGTGGGCTGCTTCCAGTGTATAAGGAGAAGCGTTGGGAAAGGTCTCTAGCTTTTTGGCACATTTGGATCCTGCATTTGGCTAAGTCTTTATCCAGTGGCCTGCTGATTTTGGAATTGTTCCTGGACTTGAACCAGTGGCTTGCTGGTGTTGCTTGTTGATCTTGGGATTGTGCCATTTTACCTGTCGACCTTGGGTTCATCAGCCTCAGCAGCCAGTAGCTGTGTGAGTTAGGAGACACCTCCAGCTCAGTGGGCCTTAAATAAAAGGCAGAGCTGATGTCCAAGGTTGAGGGGCCTTCACCTAGCCCCTAGAGCCAGCACTCTGAATTTGGACTTCTAGCCTCTTAAACTGTAAGAGAATAAATTCCTGTTTGTTAAGCCACCCACTTGTGGTATTTTTGTTATAGCAGCACTAGAGAGCCAAGATAAACAGGAAAACCAAACCCACTGCCATCGAGTTGATTCTGACTTATAGCCACCCTATAGGACAGAGTAGAACTACTCCATAGGATTTCCGAGGCTACAAATCTTTATGGAAGCAGACTGCTTCATCTTTCTCTGGTGGAGTGGCTGGTGGGTTCCAACTACCAACATTTTGGTTAGTAGCCCAATACTTTAACCACACTGCCACCAAAGCTCCTAAGAAGTAAAACTATCTCTGGTTTTACTCGCATACAGAAGACATGATCTATGTAGATAACCCCAAAGAATCCACAAGAAAGTTACTAGAGCTAATAAGTGAATTCAGCAAAGGTGTAGGGAACAAAGTTGGTACACAGGAACTTCCAGCAGTGCACACTTGGAGGAAGAAGTCTCCCTCCTTCTGGGGCAGTCGATGTGTGTGTGTGTGTGGGGGGGAGCTCACCTCTGCCGCAGCAGGTCCTCCACGTCCTTGCACATCTTCCTGCCGTCCAGCAGCCGCTGCAGTAGCACCTCATAGCCTGTGTGGGCCGTGAAGTCCCTGCACTGCAACACAGGACAGAAGGACACATGAGTGCCACAGGCCAGGCAGTGCAGGGCAGGGTTGGGGGGACTGAGAACAGCCCAGCGAGGACCCCTGTGGGCCTCTCTCCTGCCCTGGGGCCCAGCCTTCCCATCTGCTTCCATCTGTTCTGTTCAAGGTCAAGCCCTTGGGTCTCAGGACCTGGGTTCACACAGATGCACAGTAGGTCCTCCCCAAGTGTTTGTGGAGGAAACATGTATAAGTGAGACCTGGCTGAACAGGGGACCTAGGGCTTGGCAGTGGAGCTCATGATCTGGGATGCATCAACTCAAACACAAGACGATGGCCAGTGTGAAGGCCCAGCGACAAGGACCTATGAAAACAGCCAGCACTAAAATATACTTTCTGGTTGTCAGGCACCGCTCATGTCACCCTCTCAATCACCCTATCATCTAAACTAAGTGAGGAACTGAGGCATAGAGATGTGAAGTATGACCATGTCCAGGGTCACACGGCTCAAAAGTGGCAGGTCTGGCATTAAACAAGACTGTGTGGCTCAAGGCCATGCTCTTAACTTCAACTCAGCAATGGCAATAGTAATGGTCTTTTCTTGTACCCCAACTGTGTGCCGGATGCCACACTGGGCTCTCGCTGTGTGAGGCCTCAGGTGGTCTCTTCACACCAACCCTGAGAGGTGGACATCGAGGGTGACTTCAGTCAGAACCAGGGCACACCCTGAGCCACCTGGTTAAGAGCAGGCTGGGGAGAGGAAAAGCCTCCAGTCCACTCAGGTGAATGAGAAGATTACCATGGGTTCGTATCACTGCTGGGTTCTGGGTGTGTCTGAACTGTTGGAATTTGGGGGATGGAGGTAGTGCTCAAGGACTATGAGGGGACAGAGAGCCTTCTCACACTTAGAGTGTGGGTCCCAGGGACAGGCCTCCCACTCCCAGTTCTCCCAGGACCCTGCACACAGGGCTTCTACCAGCAGAAGGAGACAGATACTGGGAGGAGGTATGTGCTTAGAGAAGGGGCTTTGTCTCTTATCTGTTATTCATATCCATTCTTGTGGAAAGATTCCCTAAGTCCCCAGAGTACTCTGCCAGGCAAGGGAAACTCATCATCTACTCTCTGTCTTCTTTTCAGTCCCCCACAGGACTTAAAGAACCATAGAGACTGGGGACAGAGCCCCAACTTCTCTGACAGCATGCATCATAGCCCCTCGCACAGAGCTCAGAGAACCAATGGCACTCCCCAAGGTCATGTACACTTGGAGGAGGCAGATTTTAACCATCGCAGAGTTAAAAGCTGCTGCTTCTTCCCCTGTCCCCTGCCATTAAGTACAGTGCTGTGGGTATCCGGGAGTGGTGGTGGTGGTGGTGGTGGTGGTGTGTGTGTGTGTGTTGGGGGGAGGGGAATCAAAATCAAGAAAAGCTTCCTGGAGGAAGAGGCATTTGAACTAGGTCCTGGGAAGAGAAGGTATTATTTTTCAAGGTCAGAGGAGACTCAGATATGGTAGGGAAGGGCAGACACAGCACAAATGGTCCCAATTGGCCCCTCGCTCAGCAAACTCAAAATAGTAGAATCTTCAGGCTCATAGAATGCTTAAGACTCCAAGCTCACACCCTCCTCCATAAGCATCCTTAGAAATTCCTGAGGAAGGTTTGGCCCAGGCTCAGCTGTCAGCAGGGTGACAAGCAGAGTGTCTGGGTCCTAGCTGGCCATCTAGGGCCCCAACAGGAGGAAGGTGTCTGTCTGCCCTCCTACAGGCCTGTCCTGGGCCAAACATCATTTCCAATGTCCAGGGCTGCTGGTGTTGGGCCAGGCTTTCATTTCTGTAACTCTTGTGTGCAGCTGTGTACCTGTAACCAGCAGCAGACCCCAGCTTCATGCCACCTCAGCCTCTGCCCTCCCAACCCCCAGGTCAGAAGCCATGAGGCAGCATCTTGTCCAGTGCCCCACAGTCCTAGGAAGAAGCTGTAGCTCAGAGAAGGGAAGGCCTGCATGAAGCACACAGGGCAGAGTTAGGACAAGAATCTGGACTCACAGGGGACCCATTATTCTTGATGGCTCTGAGGAAGATGGAGCAGCTTGGAGTAGGAATAGACTGGAGGGCAGCCTGTAGGACCCTCTGCGTTCCCATCCAGCCCCATGCCCGGCCTGGAGACCCCCAGGTGGAAACCAAAGCAAAACCAAACCTACATTGGCCATACTGGAAGAGGCTGAAGGCAAAAAGGTGTCCTGCAGGCTGGTCCCGAGGAGCTCACATCCCCAGGGCTCTGTAGGCTGAGTCCTGCCCAGACCCAGCTCAGAGCCAAGTGGTGCTAGCAGAAGCTGCAGCCGAGTAAGCCACAGTGACAAGTGACCAGGCTGTTCCGAGGAAGTGCCTGACTCCCCAGGGGCTGATCATGATGCCTCTCTGCACCCTGTCACCCAGGCTAAACCCTCCCCTTTCTTCCCACCCGGTCTTATCCTTAAGGCATGGATTCTGACTCATTGCTCCGGTCTGGGCAGAGTCGGGGCTCTATATGCTATTGAGGAAATGAGGGAGGGAGGGAAAGGAGGGAAGAACTAACCACTCAATCAATTAATCGGTCATGCAAGTCATGCCACTCATGGCCCAGGACCAGAGTTGTTCCCTCTAGGGAGCTATCCTGGCCTTCCCATTCCACACCCACTAGCTCTGCCCTCTAGGTACCAAGGACCCCCTGCCAGTCATCTTCTTTTGGGGGCTCAGACTGATGTTTCCACAGCTAGTCCCTCCCCTTCTCTCATCCACTCTCATCCTCTAACTCCTGAAACTCATCTGTGGCTCTGCCCTTTGTAAAATCACCATTTATTGGGTCCACCTGCTTTTTAGTATTATCACAGTTGTTATCTCTTTGAGTCTCTATGGGGAAAGAAGGATAATGACTAGGAGGCCCAAAGTGGGGAAGTGACTGCCTAAAAACACACCACTGGTAAAAGGCAGAATTTGAGTTAGAACCCAGGATGACCTGTCCCCAAAACCACATGTCTAAATTAGCTATTTGGCAGGCAGCCCAGTAACCGATTTTCATTTTGAAACATCAAATAATGCTTGTTGTTTTTTGATTGTGGTAAATAGATATTTAACAAAAGCACTTGCCATTTGTTTCAGCATTCTTCACATGTGCAATTCAATGACATTAATTGTGTCCCTCATGTTGTGCAACCAGCACCCTTATCTGTTTTCAAATTTTTCCATTACCCTTTATAGAAGCTAACTGTCCCCTAGGCAAAGGGTTTCCCACCTCTCTCTACTCCCTAGCCGCTCCTGTTGTTGTTGTTGTTATTTGCCGTTGAGTCGGCCCCGACTCATAGCGACCCCTCCTTGGGTTTCCAAGGCAGTATCACTACGGAAGTAGGATTGCCCAACCTTCCTTCCGAGGAGTGGCTAGTGGGTTTGAACCGCCAGCCTTCTGGTTAGCAGTCAAGTGCCTTAGTAACATTAATAGACTTGGGTCTGTATATATTTACCTCTTCTAGATATTTCAATAAGTGGGATCATAGAACATCTGTCTTTTGTCACTGATTTATTTTAGCCAGCATATTTTCAAAGTTCATACATGTTGTAGCGTGTATCAGGATCTCATTCCTTTTTATGGCTAAATAATATTCCTTTGTATGGCTCTGCCACATTTTGTTCATCCATTCATCTGCTGATGAACATTTAGGTTGTTCCCACTTTTTGGCTAGTATGAGTAATACTACTATTATATTTGTATACCAATATACAAATACCTGTTTGGTATACAAATTGGTATAAAAATACCTGTTTGCATTGCTGATTTCAATTCTTTTGGGTATGTACCAAGGAGTAGAGTTGCTGAATCAAATGATAACTCCATAATTCACTTTTTGAGAAACCACCAGACTGTTTTCCATAGCAGCTGTACCATTTTACAATCCCACCAGCAGTGGATGAAGATTCAAATAATGATTTTTAAAAAATAGTTTTTGATGATAGCTGGGTAAGAAACACATGTGGTTTGGGTGAACAAAAAAGCAATATACCAAAAGCAAGTGGGTGACCAGCCCAATAATACTAAGAAAAAGGAAGACACAGAGAGGTATACAAGAGGTAAAGACAACAAAGATAAACACTTTTACACATACAATACTACATTATTAGTAATAATAAACACTAATCTATGGGTAGATACATAGGTAGCCAGGCTAAAAGATCAGATATGTCTAGGCAAAAGGGAATATACCCATGATATAGGTTTGGCAGACAATATTTCTACATATATATTTGTATGTGGTATAAGAGCTAATGGAGCAAAGTTATGATAACTTTTTAGCCACCTCCAAACACCCTGAGGGTGTGATTCACTGGGCCCATGGGCTTGGGACCATGGTCACAGGGAATGTCAAGCTCAATTGGCATAACATACTACACAAAAACATTATTCTACATCCTGCTTTGTTGAGTAGTGACTGGGGTCTTAAAAGCTTCTGAGTGGCCATCTAAGATGCAAAACCTGGTTGTTTGTCTGGAACAAAGAAGAGTGAAGGAAATCAAAGATACATGGAAACAATTAGTCCAAGGGATCAGTGGACCATGCGAATCTCAGGTTACATGATCATGAGACCAGAAGAACTAGATGGCGCCCAGCTACCACCGTCAAACACTCAGAAAGGGGTCAGTGTAGGATATCTTGGATAGAGTAGGAGAAAAATGTGGAAAAACTCAAAAATCATTAAAAAAAAGACCAGGCTTACTGGTCTGATAGAGACTGGCAAAACCCCCAGGACTATGGCTCCTACTCACCATTTGGGCCTGGAGTTGAGCTTATTCCCATGGCTTCCAGCCAAACAGTAGACAGGCATATAAGATGAACATTCCTTTTAACAATCAACCATGGGTGATCAGAAGGGCAGTATTTTCACAGGGAGATAGCTTAGAAGGCAAGAATGCATAGGAAAGAAGGACACAGAGAAAAGGTAACCACAGGGAGAAAGTAGGAAGAGGGCTGTTACATTATGGGGATTACAATCAATGTCATGTAAACTGCTGAATGGAAAATGAATTTGCTCTGTAAACTTTCATCCAAATCACAAATAAATAAATAATTTTTGATGCTAGCTAGGGAAGAGGAGCTCTGGTAGCATAGTGCCTAAGGCGTTTGACTGCTAACCAGAAGTCTGGTGGTTCAAACCCACCAGCCACTCCTTGGAAGGAAGATTGGGCAATCTACTTCTGTAGTGATACTGCCGTGGAAACCCAAGGAGGGGTCACTATGAGTCGGATCCAACTCGATGGCAATGAGTTTTATTTTGAGCTAGGTAAGAGAAATATATTGATTTGGGTAAAAGGAAAGGCAATATACCAAAAGTGAGTGACCAACACAATATCACTAAGGAAAAGGAAGACATAGAGAGATACACAAGAGGTACAATACAGATAAGTACTTTTACATACACAAGTCTGCATTATCAGTAATTAAAAACATTAATCTATGGGTGGATACATAGGTAGACAGGGAAAACGATCAGATATGACTATGCAAAAGGGAATATACCCATGACCATATATGATGTTGTTGTTATGTGCCGTCGAGTCAGCCCCGACTCATAGTGACCCCTCCTTGGGTTTCTGAGGCAGTATCACTACGGAAGTAGATTGCCCCATCTTCCTTCCGAGGAGTGGCTGGTGGTTTAGAACCGCCAGCCTTCTGGTTAGCAGTCAAGTGCCTTAGCCACTACGCTACCAGAGCTCCTATGACCATATAGGGGTCTGGCAAATGATATGTATTTGTATGTGCTATAAGAATGCCCATGTATATAATAGAGCCAACAGAGGGCAAAGTTATAACTTCTTAGCCACAGCCAAATACCTTGAGGGAGTGAGTCACTGGGCCCACAGTCGCGGGATCATGGTTGCAGGGGACATCAAGCTCAATTGGCATAACATACTACACAAAAACATTGCTCCACATCCTACTTTGGTGATTAGTGACTGGGGTCTTAAAAGCTTGCGAGTCCCATCTAAGATGCAATAGTTGGTTTCTCCTTGTCTGGAGCAAAGAGGAGCAAAGTAGAGTGAAGAAAATCAAAGACATATGGAAACAAATAGTCTGAGGGACTAGTGGACCATGCAAACCTCAGCCTACATGACCCTGAGAACAGAAGAACTAGATGGTGCACTGCTATCACTGCCAACCATTCAGAAAGGGATCAAAATTGGACATCCTAGATAGAGTGAGAGAAAAATGTGGAACAAAATTCAAAATCATAAAGACCAGGCTTATTGATCTGATAGAGACTGGTGAAATCCCTGAGGCTATGGCCCCTACAGGCCTGGAATTGAGCTCACTCTCATGGCCTAACTCTCAGTCAAATAATAGGTTTACGAGGTGAACAATTATACCAGGGAGGTCCACTCCTTAGAACAACCAACTGTTGGCAATCAGAAGGGTAACCTTTGTGCAGGGAAAAAGATCAGAGAGTAGGACTGCATAGGAAGGAAGGACACCGGAAAAGGGTAACCACAGGGAGGAAGTGGCCAGAGAGCTGTTATAGTGTGGAGATTGCAATGTCACAAAATAAAATGTGTGTGAACTGTGGAATGGAAAACAAATTTGCTCTGTAAACTTTCAACCAGATTACAATTAAAAAAAAAAAGAAAAAGTCAAGCATCAAAAATAATAATATTTTTTAAAAATGATTATTCAAATTCTATCTCAAATCAAAACTATATTTCAGGTGACACTTTAATTACCATAGATTCAGAGGCCAGCTCTGCACCCAAGCTGGGTCAGACTTGTTGCTGCCCAGGAGCAGGATTGTTCTGGACTCTACAGACCTATGCCCCAAGAGCCAGCAGAGCCAGAAGGCACACCAAGCCATGGGGCACAGAAGGCAGTGCACCCATGGGGGGGGTGCCAGGCAGTGAGCAGATGTAGCCTTCCTCTGAGAGGCCCCCTCAAGCCAGATGTAAGACTCTAGGCCCACAACTGAACTCCAAGTCCTGCCCTTAATACACTTACTATATGGCCACTTTGGGCCTCCCCTTTCCTACTGAGGGGCTGGATCCAAGCTCCATCTTCCAGGGGCCCATAAGGAGATGTTCTGCTATTGGGCAGGAGGAAGAATATCCCTACTTCTGCTGTGTGGAACAGCGCAGAGAAGGTCTCAGTGCCCTGCTCTACATGGGACAGCCCCCCTACTTCCTTCCATTGAGTGGG